GTAGCTTGCCTTACAAGGAGTGGCTCGGCATGGTGCAATCCAATCTTGGAAGGTGAGGCGAGGAGAGGATGGAGCGTGACTCCCCCCCTCCCTAGAAGCATGTTAGGATCCCCCCCCCCAGCAATGGCGTTGTTGGACACGAACAGAACAGGATCATCGACCCAGTACAATTCCGGTCCTCTTCGTAGTCCTCTTGCTCGTTCGGTTCGTCGATTGCTCTTCCTCCTTCCTCCTCATTCGACCCTCTAAGAGGAGCCGCAGGGATCTTCATGCGTGTTGAAGTGTGGAAGGAAGGCGTGAGAGGGGAGACGGAGTGGAGTGAAAGCAGGGAGGAGGGAGGAGGGAGGAGGGAGGAGGGAGGAAGGGGAGAGAAGACAAAGGAGCGAGGGAGGGAGAAGCAGGGAGCAGGGAGGGAGGGAGGGAGGGAGAGGAGAGGAGAGGAAGGTTAGGGGAGGACAAAGATGGGAGCAGAGATTGAAGAAACAGTGGCAGAGAGTCGAGGCAGCATAACGAGTTCATCTCACTTTTCACTCAGCTGCTCCTCTCTCCTCCCTCCTCCTCCCTTATCGTCAGATTCTTCGGGACTCCCAAGACGGAGTAAGCAGCAGACAAATCCGCAAGCTCCTCCATGAAGAACTCCCGGATCGACTTGTCCTTCCTGACACTCCGCACTAGTCCTCGCTCTGTCTCTCCGCTCCTGCCCGCGTCCCTCCTCCCTTGCTCCCTCTTCTCCCCTCTTCCCTCCCTCTCCTCCCCCTCCTTCGGGTAGGGACGAACCACTCTCCTCTCTACCTCTCCTCCTCCTCCCTCATCCGAACGGCAGAATGTCTCCAGCGCTTGCTGAGCAGCATCGAAGTATAGCTTCAGTCCCTCCTGCATCTTGGACAGGCAAGCTTTCAGCGCTTCTACTTTCTGATCCCCCCCTAGCCGTTGGTGCACTACCTCCGTGCCCTCCACTTCAACTGCCTGCCTCTGCCACCGTCCCCGTTCCAGCGCTTTCTCCTGCTGCTTCCGATGCTCCTGCCGCTGCTGCTGCTCAAGACTCTTCTCCTTCTCAAGCAATCCCTGTAGTTGTAGATGCTGTTGCTTCTCCTCCTTGACCTCCTTGACCTCCTTGACCTCCTTGACCTCCTTGACCTCCTCCTTTGCACGAGAACCTTTGACAAGCTCAGCAAGTTTTCCCTGCCCTAGCACCAGACATTTGTCTTTTTCAAATCTGCTTTCCAGCTTCTCCAACAGCTTTTGGTATGAGTTTGTGTCCTCTCTCATGAATTGAAGATAGTTAGAAGAATTTCTTACATGGTGCTCAGGTTTCCCACTCTCAGACGGCATCATCGCATTCCCACCTTGCATATTGATGTTGCGGTCGACGTTTAAGGTCAAGAAGGGTTTGTTCACATCAACAGCTCTTTCCTCCCTGTCCTCACCACTCTTGCTCTCAATCTTGTCCCTCCCCACTCCTCCTCCTCCTGCTTGTTGTCGATTTCATCCAGCAAGCATTTCAAATCATCTTCCATCTTGCCCAGCTTCTGAAACACCTGGTTGTTCTTTCTCTCCCGTTCCCCATCATCTTCCGTCACTTCAGGCGACAATGACATGACATCCCCATCCTGCCGTGACGGGCGTAACAACCTTCCTGCTCCTACTCCTCCGTCGCTCTCCTCGTTCGAGGCATCTCCCTGCTCCTTTAGTTTGATTATGCTTTCAGCCTTGTCCTTGGGATGTCGTAAGAACACGACGTAGTCGTTGGCCTCTCGATCCCATTCCAGTCTCACGCAGTCAGGAAGCGCCAACAGCAGATCTCGCAGCCTGGGAAACCCCAGCTGCTCGCTCTTGGGACTGTCCTCCTTGTACATCAGATTCCATCCCTGGTTGATCTGCGACATGAGCAGAGGGCCCATCCTTGCCGTCAGCACCGTCAGCTTACTCTTGTACTCGGACAGCATCTTTGCCATCCCTCCGTGCTCCTTCCCTTCTTCTGACTCCGACAGGCTGATCTCGACAGAGCTTTCATCGGCCCCTGCTGCAGACGCTGACTTGTCTGCATCCTTCTCTCCTCCTCCTTCCCCCTGTGCTTCCATCGCATCCCACCTCAAATCTCCCTCCTTTCCCTCCTCCTGTTCCTTCTCCTCTTCATCCTGTTCCTCCTCCTTTTCCTCGTCTTCGACCTCGACCTCGACCTCGTCCTCGACCTCGTCCTCGTCCTCGTCCTCGTCCTCGTCCTCGCCCTCGCCCCCCTCCTTCTTTGCCTTCTCTTGAGCTCTCCATATTGCTTCCAAATCCTTGTGGCTTCTTATCTGTACAATGCGCTCGGGACCTACAAATTTCTTCATGTTTGCATCGCCTTCTTCCCCGTCCTCCAAATTCGTCCAATTTCCCTCCCAAGGCTTCTCGTTCTCGTCGCAAGGAACCCAGGGCCCTCTGGCGGGTGCAAAAATCTCCCCAGGAGGTTGCAAGATTTCGAAAATCTTCTCATCGCCATTCCTCAAGAAGTCTCGATGCAATTTTGTGATGCTGAAGTAATCAGCATCCGATTGCCTGATCCACTCCCTCCCGCCTTTGAATCTCTCGGAACCTTCCTCTTCCAGCACAATCTTGCAACACTCCATCGGATAGAAATCGAATTGCCACCTTTTGTCTGTCTTGTTCGAGGATTCTACCACCACACATGGCAAGTTCGGGTACGACAGCTTGTACCCCATCTTTGCATAGATGGTAGAGACCGTTAGGATCTTCCTCTTTGGCATTGTTCCTGCTGTTTCTTCACTTTGCTCGGGCACGTAAGTGAGGATACGCGATGCGGACACTTTCGACATGTTGGAAGGAATGAAGAAAACCTGAGAACCGTTGGCCGCACGTGCGACGATCCCAACGAACTTCATCCTTGTATTCGAGGGAAGGAGGGCGTTCATGAAAGTAGAGAACACGCTCTGCCACATGCTGTTGTGCCCTTGCCTCCCGCTCGCTTGCTTCATTTCCCTCTCCAGCGTGATCGCAAAGCACCTCCCCTTCCTGAGTCCCTTCACCAGGTTATAGCACGTTGGCAGTTGGTCTGCAAACCAGTCGATCAGCGATCGTTCATGCCTCTGTCTCCTCGTCTCTCCTCCTCGATGCGCTACATCCCCAAGACTGACACGTACAGGGGCCTTGTGCTCAGAGCGGTTCTGCACAAACTCAGCGATCCTCTTCGGGTCAACGTCGAACCCAGCAGGAGGTTTCACTCCTCGCATGTTCAGCATCCCCTTCCTCATCAGCATCAGCTCTCGAGCCTTCTCATGCAGAGATGGCATGCTCAGTCCTGCCAACGTTGGGATGTCAGCTTGAAAGACATACAGATGGTTTGATCGGCTGGCTACGACCCCAATCACTTCGCTCCCCAGTACTGGACGTGGCAGTTTCACATAAAAAAGTCTGCTGGAGGAGAGCAGGTGTGGGTCTTCAGGCGGGTTGAGGAGGACAAGCTTTTCTGGCAGGACTCCAAACCAGGACCGGAAGGATTCATGGACAAAAGCATGGTTGCTGATCTGAGCGGCACTGGCGTACACATGTGGGAACTTGAAGGCAGAATCCTTATTGCTCTCCTTTCTGTCGCAGTACACGATGAATTGTTCTTCGAGCTGAACAATGAAAACAAGAGCAACAGATGGCAACCACCATGAAAGCATGGAGGGATGCTTCAAGACAAGAGTCCGGCGTTGCTCGATCTCTGTACGGCAAGATCGCACAAACTTTCCTTTAGGATCGAAGAAGTCCTTGACCAGCTCCTTAGATCTTGTTCCATTGGTGCCGTTGCGAAGAAAACTGAGGAGTTCAACCATGGAGAGCGAAGACTCCTGCTCCAAGTTGGTCATGGAGGCGCGAATGGTAGCCCACTCGTCGTTCTTTTTCAACAAGTCCAAGAACGGAGCAGGAGCAGGAGCAGGAGCAGGTGCTCCTGCTCCAACCAGCATGTCTTGTCCTCTCTCCATGATCCCTGTCCCTCCTCCCCATCCTCTCATCACGTCCGCCAGCATCGTGACAAGCAGCATCGCTGACCATCGCACCATTGTGGATCCCCACCGTTTCCAAGACCCCCCCCGCCCAGGGGTGCCTGGACAACCCCTACCTCAAATTTTCATTTCTCGATACAATTTGAGGCAGAAATCCAATCGTACCCTAGTCAATAACTTTTATATCACCGGTACTTACTCGAAAATTTCCACCATTACCCCCTTTTGCAGTACCCCTGTCTACCATCACCCTAATATTGTTTGAGGGTACCCCTTCTTTCTCCAAGATCTGAGTGCGCTGCCGAGCGGACGCTTCCTGAAGTTCCTTCTCGTTGCCCCATGAAAGTTCAGAGGCAACAAACTTTGTCTTCCCTGTCCCTCGTCGCTCGTTCCTTGTCCCTCCTCCTCGCCCACCCAGCTCTTTCTCCATCCTTGCTCCTCCTTCTCAGACTCTGTCTCGCTTCTCTACCTCTCCTCTCTAGTTTGTCGGCCTTTCTATCCCATCCATCTCTTCCAGTCATCTACCCTCCTTCACTGCTCAGTTTCGATCATGATTTTGTATTATATGCCTCCTATCAGTCTGTACCGCAACTTGTCCTCAAACAGCTTCGGCTCGAACGCTCTCCTGATGAAGATGACGAGATCCTCGCAGTATTCTGCTCCATCTGCTTCATCCAAGACATCATCCTCGCACATGCCGTCCTGAGCCTCACACCTCACACACTTGTTGTCTTTGAAGATCTCTCCCTTGTCACAAGGGCGGAAAGTCCCGTCCTCGTGAACAGGAAACTGATGCTTCGGAATAGGGTGCTCCCAATACTTCCTTGCTGTGTGCGGAAGAAGGATGAAGTACTCGGGAGAATCCAGCGGGATCTTCAGCCTGTAAGATGCCAGCACGACGTTCAAGACAGTCTGGTCTTGGCGGAAATTCATCTTTGACGCGTTCGGAGGCGCGATGCAGGTCGGATCCATGAGGCATATGTAATATCCTGACAGAACCTCCCTGTGCGCAAGGCTCCCTCGCCGATAGCCTTGGATTCCCCCGCACGCCTCGATCTCGTTTCTCATGCCAGTGCCTGTGGGGTCGGGCAGGAAGAAGTCCTTCTCCTTCAGCCCGTGCCACTCAACCACCGCCGGATGCGTGAAGCGGTTCGGACTCGGCCAACCGTTGGTCACGAAGAAATTCCCGTCCACGGCGATATGCCCAATGACGACTGAGAGGTCAGATCTGATCTCCAGGCCGGCATCCAGCCAGAGCATGCACTGGTGCTGCTCCAAGACCTCGACAAGGATCGGAGCTCGCCACGAGTACGCCCCCTTGGTCCCGTTCTGCGTTAACTTCTCATCGACTCGCATGTGCGCTGCATGCTCGTTGAACGCAAACTTCCTGTAGTCCACGTTCTCCCACGTCCGCACATCTTCCACCTGTGCCGTCGACAGGCCTAAGTCATAGAACACGACAGGCACGGCTGGTGCCCAATGGTGTATCGACCCCACAAGGTTGACAGCCCTGTCGAACATGCTTGTGCTCGCTCCAGTCACAATCACAAAGTCGCTGTCGCAACCATTGGGGCCTCCAAGGTCATGGGACCTTCCAACTTTCTCCGCCAGCGCCACCCGCTCCTGATAGTTTCGAGCAATCTTGGTCATGTCGATAGTCATCCTGTACGGGCTCCCCTGAATGTGCTTCCCTCCCAACCTCACCCACACCTCGGGGGCTTTTGCCTTCAGGAGGGCAGGAGAGAAATATATCGTGGTATAGATGAAGTATGTTCCATTCCTCAGGTCAAAGAACGACCCTGTATTGGTATCCCCGACGTCAGTGACGTTTATCAGGAACGGCGGAGCGCCCTTCACCGCGACAACTTTCGAGTACTTGTCCCTTGCCACAACCGTCATTCCCACCGTCACCCCATGATAGAAGACCGTTCCTGGCGGAACATGCAGCGAGCTCGTCCGATGATCTGGGACAGCATCTGAGGACGTCTGATCTTCTGCACGCACAGGTATCGATAGGGTCGTTGAATATGGAGGCGGGAACGGAGAGTCCTCCGGAGTTGTTTCCGCAGCCTTGAGCTCCTCACATTGCCTATCATGGCAGACCCCGTCACTTGTTCCTGGCGCCTGGTCAACAGGCGCAGAAGGTTCTTTCATGTTGCTCTTGGATGGTCCAGCAGCAGTCCACCGGGGCGCAAACTTCGGCTGACATGACTCCAAGAGGACCAGGGCCACGATTGTCATGAGGGCAATGGAGCTAGGCTTCAACAACCGGGGAGACCGAGGAGGGCGGGAGGGCGTCGGAGAGACGAGAGCTCTGAGGACTATGCTCATGACCAGACGGGGAGGAGAGACTGGCATGCAGGTCCTGCCTCCTCCTGCTACCTCCCCTTACGCCATGACTGGGCACCTTCCATTGGCCGGTCCCGCATCCCCGCTCATCCCCCTCCCACCAAACCTTCTACTTTTTTTACCCTCATCCCCCCTCAATCAACTTGGGGGTTGGCCCAGGGGTTGGCCCGCCTCTCATTTTTGGTTTTGTTGGTCTCATCCCCACTCTGCAGGACCCCTACCCCCTTCTTTACTACAACCCACCCCCTTCTTTACAAGAAGCGTCCACTGTGGCTCTGTAGATTGACCGGTACATTTTCCCACCCCCTACCCCTATCTCTAGGAACACGACTATGTACTCTGCAGGGTAGGGGTGGTGGCAATGGCAGGCGCTGAGAAGCCGGCAGGGCAGTCGAAGCGGTGACGAGATAGGTAGAGGAGAGGAGAGGAGAGGTAGGAAGTGGGGAGGAGCCGTTGGAAGGAGAGGGAGGATAGATAGCAACAAGCGCAGACGAGTAGATCGAAGGCGAGACGATGAAGGAGAGCAACCTACAGTTTTGTCAAGTTTAGGAAGGCAAGCATACGAAGGAGTTAGCGTAATAGGTGTTGGCCCACAAAGTAAAGAGAATAGAAGAAGTGCAAACAGGCACAAAAGAGGAAGACAGTATCGACGATCAAGGAACGGAAGGAGGATTCGTCGAGAAGAAAGTCACACCGAGGAGTACGGCCTGCGACGCAGAGCTTGCAAGAAATACAGTGACGGAAAGACTGCTGCCAGGCTGAAGTGGGAGCAAACAGATTGGAATCCTTTGCAGAGCAAAACGAACATGATTCTGTGAAGATGGCAAGGTCGAGCTATCCAGCAGTCGGATCGCCCCTTGTCGTGCGGCAGCTTTCCCCTCGGAAGCATCACGATGCGTCTGCAGAACAGGCAGAGAGAGCGGAGCAGCATGTTCTCAACGAAACCGGCTCTTCAAGCACATCCTCCGTCAGGTCCGGGGTCGACTTCCGTCTGATCAAGACGATCCTCCACCATAACAGGATCGCTAAGAGGGGTTGGGCCGGCGCACGGCGCTATGAAGTCGCATCGAAGCAGTCGCCGAGGAAGAACAACATCGCAGGTCTGAAGCCGAGAGTTGTCTCAGAGCATGAACATCTCGAGGCTCAAGATTCCCAGGAAAAGGCGCCTGCGTTGCAGAACCAACCTCTGGACAACCTCGTTTCTCCCCGACCAGTCCGGAGCGCGCCTGCTTCTCGACCCCCTGCATCGTCTCCCAAGCTCTCAGTCTCGAGCTGCACGACGCCTGAATTTCTTGACACCTCGCTGCTCCTGGATGATTTCCTGACCATCACCCCTGGGGATTATTGGACTGGCCGTAACGTGTCGTCTTATCTTCAAAGGCGCCATGACACAAGTCCAGGAAAAAAATCGTTGACAAGTCCTCCTGTTGCGGATCGCTTTTACAGACAAACAAAGCAAGAACTGAGGAATGAGCTCGAAAGCTTTCCTCCTAGTTTCTCGAACTACCGCATGTATTCTACTGGAAACCCCAAGCTCTTCTTAGAGACATCACCGTCCAGAAAGGAACGGAGGTCGGAGAGCACAGATCATTTCTTGAGACAGGTCAGAGTAGCATAGCTATGTCTGCTACGATGACTGACACTTGGGAAAGATCAACAACTCTGTTGCTAATCAACAGGTAGATACAAATTCGATGCAAGGCTATGACGGAGAATCTCACTTTCAAGCCCTTCGTGCGAGTGAGCTGTACAGGTGGGTTTGACTTGACAGCTGCCAAAGCATCTTGTAATGACCCACTTTCTGAATTCAGACACAGTAGAAGCCCGGAGATGAAAGACTCGTCACGCAGATCAACTTCTTCTCTTTCAATTCGATCCCGAGTTCGTGATGATTGGTCCTCAGAGGAACAGTCGACCCTCGAACGGAAGACGAACAAATTGAACGTTCTGATCCCACAAGTCCTTTCATCTCCAGATGAATATGTAAGCCTGTGGAGGTCTCATGGTGATTCTGTTGTCTGACGTATTGCGTTTCAAGGACGATTGTGAAGGTCAACTTTCTCCGGTATCCTGACACGTTGCAGTAACTGGCAAAATAAAAAGATGGAAATGTTGTTTGCTGACAGGTTTGGAATTCTAGGCCATCTCTTCTTCAAGGCTGAAATTTAACTTGACACTAGTCGACATTGATTGTTGACTAACTCCTCTTGATGCGCTGTTGCGATTAGCGTCGAGAACTAGTTGCAGAAGACGGGCAGAGACAACAGGGCTGTCTATCCCCGCCTTGAGGGGGCTCGTAGCACTGTCTAAGGCCTCTGAGTCTCGGAGCAAGCAGGTCTCTTGCAGATGCTCTGATATATGCCCCCGCGCCTTCATGCAAAGGCGGATGTACTCACGACATGATCCTTCATGCACCTGGAACCACGTGATGTGGTTGAGAACATGCATGGCCCCCGCTGCATTGTCATTCATTTTGAGCGCCTCAGCAAGAACGTACAAAGCACGAACGTTCAAGTACAATTGTCTGCGCCAGAACATAAAGCACTTGCGATAGAGCAAAAACCTTTGCCGTTGGCTGATCTGGAAAACCACGGCCTTTGAATCAGCATTCCTGGTCGAGTAGGTGCACCAACTCCTGAAAACCAACTTAATGTTGCGAACCGTGTGATGAGCTTTCATGCATTGAACTTGGCGACGCAACCTCCCCCTTCCAGACCACAAATATAGAAACACAAGACAAAGAAGCATAGGAGATGAGACAAAAGAGCACATCTCCCTGAAGCCAGAAAACGAAAACAACACCAAATCACGAATAAGCAGCTGAAATCCAAGATTGCAAATCCTGATTGCCCCAGCGGCTGCCCGCTCGCCCTGCCGCCGCTCCCTCGTGCCTGCCGCCCACGCCGCAAGCGCTGCATACCCTTGATCCCTCCTCCGCCGTACCGCCACGACTCCTCCTATCCTTCCTACCTGCTTCCCGTGTCTCGCCAAGCCTCTCCAGCCTCTGAGTACCTCCCATACCTCCCGACGTCCCCGCTGCCTCCCGGCTCGTGCCAAGACCGCTCGTGTCCTCTGCCCGTATCCTGCCGCCCTCGCCCATCTTCCCAGCCCCTCCCGCAGAGTCCTCAGCCTCCGTCGCCTCCTCCCTGTCTGGACTAGCCGGTCCCCATCTGTTGCGCTTGCTGCCTCGTACCAGCCCTCTAGCGCCCTCCTCTGCAGGCCTGCCTCTCCCTTCTGTCTCGCCCTCGCGGCTGCCCGCTCGCCCTGCCGCCGCTCCCTCGTGCCCGCCGCCCACGCCGCAAGCGCTGCATACCCTTGATCCCTCCTCCGCCGTACCGCCACGACTCCTCCTATCCTTCCTACCTGCTTCCCGTGTCTCGCCAAGCCTCTCCAGCCTCTGAGTACCTCCCATACCTCCCGACGTCCCCGCTGCCTCCCGGCTCGTGCCAAGACCGCTCGTGTCCTCTGCCCGTCTCCTGCCGCCCTCGCCCATCTTCCCAGCCCCTCCCGCAGAGTCCTCAGCCTCCGTCGCCTCCTCCCTGTCTGGACTAGCCGGTCCCCATCTGTTGCGCTTGCTGCCTCGTACCAGCCCTCTAGCGCCCTCCTCTGCAGGCCTGCCTCTCCCTTCTGTCTCGCCCTCGCGGCTGCCCGCTCGCCCTGCCGCCGCTCCCTCGTGCCCGCCGCCCACGCCGCAAGCGCTGCATACCCTTGATCCCTCCTCCGCCGTACCGCCACGACTCCTCCTATCCTTCCTACCTGCTTCCCGTGTCTCGCCAAGCCTCTCCAGCCTCTGAGTACCTCCCATACCTCCCGACGTCCCCGCTGCCTCCCGGCTCGTGCCAAGACCGCTCGTGTCCTCTGCCCGTCTCCTGCCGCCCTCGCCCATCTTCCCAGCCCCTCCCGCAGAGTCCTCAGCCTCCGTCGCCTCCTCCCTGTCTGGACTAGCCGGTCCCCATCTGTTGCGCTTGCTGCCTCGTACCAGCCCTCTAGCGCCCTCCTCTGCAGGCCTGCCTCTCCCTTCTGTCTCGCCCTCGCGGCTGCCCGCTCGCCCTGCCGCCGCTCCCTCGTGCCTGCCGCCCACGCCGCAAGCGCTGCATACCCTTGATCCCTCCTCCGCCGTACCGCCACGACTCCTCCTATCCTTCCTACCTGCTTCCCGTGTCTCGCCAAGCCTCTCCAGCCTCTGAGTACCTCCCATACCTCCCGACGTCCCCGCTGCCTCCCGGCTCGTGCCAAGACCGCTCGTGTCCTCTGCCCGTCTCCCGCCGCCCTCGCCCATCTTCCCAGCCCCTCCCGCAGAGTCCTCAGCCTCCGTCGCCTCCTCCCTGTCTGGACTAGCCGGTCCCCATCTGTTGCGCTTGCTGCCTCGTACCAGCCCTCTAGCGCCCTCCTCTGCAGGCCTGCCTCTCCCTTCTGTCTCGCCCTCGCGGCTGCCCGCTCGCCCTGCCGCCGCTCCCTCGTGCCCGCCGCCCACGCAGCAAGCGCTGCATACCCTTGATCCCTCCTCCGCCGTACCGCCACGACTTTCCCGATCCTTTTCGCATGATTCCTATGATTTACGAGGACCCACCATTGACGTATCGTTTGCAAGTGTCTTTGCTTTGTAACCTTGTTCTTGACTCGTAATTTCTGATCTCTGTTATCTTTCGAATCTGAACATCTTTGTTTCCAATGAAAAAGGATGATTTGTAATTTTCTCTTGTTGTAATTCTCTGTTGCCGCTATTTTGCTCTGTTTACTTCGAGAGTAGCTACTCCACCGTGCTATTGCTGTCTTCTTGAGCCGTTTCCTCCAGAGGTTTGTGGAGATGGATGAGTTTGCCCTAGCAACCCTGTTGTTTGTATGAACAAGAACCCAACTCGTGTAGTGCAGCTTGACAGAAAACAATTCCGACCGAAATTCGAGGAAAATACGTTGAATCACCGCCAGGAATATTGTTAGAAAGTTTGCATTTTGCTTGTGAACTAACATATTTTGAAGGGCAACAACATTCATTTGAACTTGTTGAAGACTGGTCTCAGCATCATGTATCATACTATCGAACTCCCTTAAATTCGATATAATGGAGCTGTAGTTTTCCTGCAGCAATAATAATTCGTGATTCTTGATTCCTTCTTGCCATCCAGAAATGTACTTTCTTTTCAACCGATGCTTTGATTGATTTGTGGCGTGGATACAACGTTGCTCAAACGATTTTCTCTGAATGAACCACGAGCGCCAAGAGGCAAAGATGAATTCCAGGTGAGAATCAAGCAACGATTTGAGATATTTTGAAAGGACTCCTCTCAAGACCATTTCATCAAATTCGAATCTGGATAGCTTTACATTCACCGATGACACAACAGCGAGACCGAGTTGTAAGCATCGCAATTTCGCACCATCGTCGGATTTTCTGAAGCAAACAGAGTTGCTACATTTCTTTGATATTATCACAAAGAATTGCAGCACTAATTGTCGAACTACCTTCTCACACTTCTCATTCTCAAAATCCATTGTTCCTTGTGCGCAAATCTATTCCCCAGCCACCTTCGTCATCTCATACAGCCATTCAGCTCTCCACCTCTCAGCCTCTCCAGCATCATCTACCATCGTCAAGTCCGTATCCTGATCTTTCGCCATCTCACCATTCACCCGCTCTCCTCCATATCCGCCCGCGCGGCCCGCCATTTTCTCCGGCAAACTTCTCGACTCATGAAATCTTTTTTTTTGAGTGTAACCAAATAGTTTCTAAAATAGGGAAGAGTTGAGCTAAATATGAATAAAATATGCTAAAAATCTGCAGAAATAAGTGAATAGTAACATGAAAGTACCTAAAACATGAAGAAATCGACTTAATTTAGAAACATTCCCCTGATTTAACTAAATTCCTACTTGTTTTCCAAACTGAATCCATAGCGACATGGCGGGGGAACACACGCCATAGGAAGGAACAGACGGCCAGACGGACGGAAAGACAGACAGATGGAGGGAGAGAGCGATGGGGGAGAGAAACGATACAGAGGCAAGGAAGAGGAGGTGGAGAGAGGTGAATGGATGGAATATGGAACAAAGGATGGCAGGAACGTAATCTGGGAAGGAGAGGTCAGGTCAAAGGAATACTTGCACGGTAGAGGGGAGGAAGCGGGAGCATGAGGTGTTGAACCCCCGATGATCAAGAACAGAACGAGGGAGGAATTGGCAGGTGCTCGCACACTTCTGCTCCTCCATTCCCCTAGTCCTCCTGCCATGACTTACTTCGTTCCGACCCATCGTACGTCGCTATGGCGTCAACCCTTTCCACCATCCTCCTCTCCCCAGAAGGAGGCATTAGAGGAGTGAGGGGTCAGATTTCAGGGGGTCAGGGACAGAAGGAAATAGGAAGGAAAGAGAGCGTGATGGTGAAGGGAAGGACGAAGCAGGCAGGAAGGATGGGCAGGAGGGAAAAGCTGCAAGGAGCACAGCATCTACGACGAGATCACTGAGACATAGGTGTGCTCTAGAGTTTCCTTGTGCTGATTGGTGTTGTAGATGCGCTGAGGCAGCCGAACAGCAGAGCTGAACGATGGAAGCTTGGTCGCTTGAACAAGATGAGGAGTTGCGATCAGCCTGTGAACGAGGAGCCTCTATCCACCTGAAGAAGTCAAAATGGCAAAGTGATCGAGATGAATTTCCAGTGCGTCTGACTGTATCTCAGGTGGGAGGAGCTTGCAAGAACAACCTTTCCCGGGTATTCTGCAAAGATACTTCAACAGCGATGGTTCGAGATCAAAGATCGGCCAGGACTGGAGTGAGATGCTTGCGCTGTGAATGTGAGACGAATCTGAGATCGTGTCAGGTACAAGCTGTATGGAGGTTATAAAGGGCAGGTTCAAGGTATCAATGCCAGAATCATCATCATCCTCATCATCATCCTTAGCATGGCTAACTGATGCCTCGCTCTTTACAGGCGATGGGCTCACCGGTGCGAAGCTCACCATCTCCATGCTCGGAGGAAGGCGAGCTTGAGAACTTGTTGGATCGTTTGCCAGGATTCTCACAGCTGCTCTAGGGGAGGATACGGAGGGAGGACCTTCAACCGCAGCGAGAAGGCAAACAACGCCCCTCCCCTCCCTTCAGCGACTGGAACTACGATCGCCGGAGGGACAGTCAATCGCAGACCAGCCTCGGCATCTGCTGTGAGGATTTCTGCGACGAGACAGAGTGCAGTGGGCCAGGTCAGTGATGGTTCCGTTACGAGCCGTTGGGAAGGCTGACATCCCTCTAGCTCAGAGGGGCGACCCTTGCCTCGAGTCATGCCCCGGTGCTGGCGTTTTCCAAGGTTCAGGACAAGGGAAAGGTGAGAATTTTAGCTTGCCGATGTCACATGACGCAAAGATGTCGCCAGTCCTCGTCAGCTTCACGTGAAGCGGACAAGAATCAAGATCAGAGCAGCTCGCAGGGTCAAGGGACTGCTGGCAATGCAGCGAACAAGAACGTGCGGGGTACGCTTTGTGTCCGGCTGAGACAGGCGGGAAGTTGAGTGACATGCCTTCCCAGGTGCTGAGTGTGAAGAACTGATTGTTATACACGTGTGCGATGAGAACAGGTGAAATGCTCAACGATGATACTATGACGTAATGGATGTGGATCTCACTATCCTGATGTGTTGTCAGGGGTATAAACAAAGACTTCACTTGCAGAAAGGATGTTCTGTTGTCAGAGATGGCATACTTCCAGTAAGAGTCGCAATGATAGGCTATCGCCATACAATTAACAAGAACGAATCTCCACAGATCATACCTGAATGGAAGTGAAGCGAGTGACGACATCGACATTTCTGTTCACTGTGACATTCAAATCTTTCAGGTCAAAAGTTTGTTAATTGTTTTCTCATGTTACACCAAGGATTCCCTGTTTCTTTTGACCTCTTCCATCTTTTCTTCATTGCGCATTTAGATGCTTTCTGACTGACGTCCTCCTGTTCAGTGGCTCATTAAGTACCTGAACGAGCCCAACTCTCCTCCACCTCTCGACAGTATGACCTCCCTTTGCCATGATATGATTCCTGACGGCTCGGCAGCGACAAACGTCATCAGCATTCTGATCTCTTCTCAATTCTTGAAAATGCAGAAATTGGTGATTCTTTGACTGATGATACCTGACCTGCTGCTGATCTCAACTCGAACAGGTTGAGCTGTGCTTGCAATTCGTATGCCGAAACGCAAATGAGATCTTGAAAATGCCGATCGACCTCAATTGTCTGAATCAGGAGCTCCTGACCAAGGTATATCGCTCCCTCTCGACTAGGATGCGAGGGTCTGATCTGCCTCGCAGCTCAGCGCCTATCTCACGCCCGAGGAACTGGAAGACCTGAATGACAGGAGGGACAAGTTGTTGAGTAGACTGTACATGAAGAAGATAGAAGCGCTGTTTCAATCTGTGAGTGCTCACTTGGGATGGAAGCTCTTGACAAGGTCTGATGAAACATTCAGGATGACAACATGATAAGCCGATGCGCGTTTTGCGGCAAGTTGTTTGCACTCAAGAACAGGAGCAAGATGGCCTGCTCCAAGGCCAAGATCTTCATAGACTTCAACGGCAGCGTGATTGCCGAACACGCCCCGGTTCCTAACTGGTGAGGACAGCAAGTGGCGGGTGCCTGGGTGACTTGAACTGAGCAGGGATGTCAACAAGTACTTGCTGTCGCTGAGGGCAAGGAAGTTGAGCTGGAGGGAAATTTATTGGAAGGTGGCTGCGATTTGGAGCCTTGTTCTGAAACCCTGACTGTGAGGTTGAAGATTTGGGGTATGATTGCAACGATGCGCTGCAAAGTTTGTGGCAACTACTTCACGGCATCTGAGCTGGAGCATTGCGGTAGCTCATCTTGCGCAGCCTTTCCATCCTGGTGACTTGCAATCAGCTTTCTGCCCTCAACAGCCGCTGTTCCGTCCCGGGCAGAACATGGGGATGTACCCCTGCTGCAACACCCCGGCGATACGGTTTGACACCTCCAACTTCACCAAGACGAGGAGGTAGGGCGTCGGGTTGTCACAGCGAGGAGGGAGGAGGGAGGAGGGAGGAGGGAGGAGGGAGGTAGCAGTGAGGTAGCATGGCAGGGGATGCTGCGCCAAGTCTCACGTGATCGACGAGGAGAATGCCGAGGATGCGAGTACGCTGACGCAGCTGATGAAGCGACACGTGAAGCAGCTTTCACGGTTGCCCGGGGTCTGACTGTCTGTTACAAGGCACTCGTTTGCGTTCCGTTTGAGGATGCAAACAAGGAGAACTTGGTCTTCTCCAGCGATGACGAGGTTTACTGCTGCCCCTGCTGTGCTCTGTGCGATGGGCCCTGACAGCATTCAAGGATGGCGGGGAGGAAGATATCCAGGAGGACGAAGCGCTTTCAGGCACCTGCGATCTAGCCATCCCACGTGGCTGACTTGCTGTCAGAGTACGAAGACTCTGCTTCCGACGGGGAGAGGGACATCGCTCGTCAACGCGTGCAGCGTATGCGAGTCAACAACGCGCACCAGGGGATACAGAGGAAGCGGAAGGTGACGAAGAGAAGCGAGGGCAGGAACATGTCGGGTAGCAGGCCAGCTGGTTCAGCAGACCAGAACCAGTGGAAGCAGGAGATGTGGCGCGAGGAAGACGCCCGACGGTTAGCAGGTGAGGGATGGATGGATGGATGGAGTGGATGGATGGATGGATGGATGGATGGATGGAGGGAGGGAGGGAGGGAGGGAGGGAGGAGTAAGAACGAGAGGGCGATCGCTTCACTGCCAGAACATTCTTCCTGTGCGTCATTAGCTATGCTGATCGCAAGCTACTCATGCAGCAATCTCTCTTCTCTCCGACGACGCTCCTGCTTCTCAAGCGCGCACAGTTATCAGTCAAGCTGCTTCTTCGTCCGGGAATGCTGTAAAACTTCCTCTACCTTCCTCCCCTTCCCTAAAATCACTAGAAATCCCCTGCGCTCCTGCTCCTGCTCCTCCCTCCCTGCACCCCTCTGCCCTCCTTTCTCCTCACTGTCTTTAAGCCGCAGGCTGCCAAACAAGCTTCTCCCTTCCGATCTCGGCCGACGTCATCGACGGCTCCACCGCGATCGAACAGGTCGATCAGGAGGATACGAGGCGAGGAGGCTGACGGCCTTGACTGCAGGCAACTGACACGACCAGCGACAGCAGTCTATCAGAAGCGAAGTACAGGGGGGGCGGGATATGCGTCAACAGCGGCTAGGAAGAAGTGAGGGGAGGATGGGGCAAGGATGGCAGTGCGAGGGATGGAGAGACAGTGAGCAGGATAGCAGCAGGAAGAAGACGAGGGTAGGAGGGAGGGATGGAGAATGGAAAAGGGGAGCTGAGGAGAGGAGAGGAGGGAGGGAGAGGACACGGGAGGGGGCGGGGCAAGGGAGAAGGCAAGCGCTGAGAAGACGAGGAGGAGCGGTGTGCCTAGGGTTGCTACATGTATCACACACAAATTAAGTTTATTTGAACTTCAAAAACATGTCCAGAACACACTTTCAACGCTCCACATCACTTCAGACCATTACTGACACGAATCACAAAATCCCAGCAAAACTCCTCCTGTCCTCCCCCGCTGGCTCCCTTTCACATCATCCGAACTCATGGATGCGATGCCTTAGCGCAGTCACCGGGAACGTCTGCCCTGTCTTGGGCCTCTGGAACTTCAGCTCGACTTGAGTGTAAATCATCCCCATGAGCATCGCATGTACTTCGTCGATCCTCTTGTGCGTCACGGACACCCCGTCGATGGCGAGGAGGAAGTCTCCTGGCAGCACCTGCTTGTTCGAGTACCCGACCTCCTTCTGCTTCAAGAAGTTCTTGTCCACCAGGTCGTCCACCTGAAGCACCTCATAGGGTGGGTCCCTGGTGATCTGAACCCCCACGTGCCCGGCAGTCTGCAAGTTGATGTTCTGCTTGTTCGATACCAGCACGGTCTTTGCCAACTTCTGACGTTTCATTGCGATCTCAAGGTTCTTCATCGTCGGCTTCGAGATCTCCATCGAGCTTGACAAGTTTTCGTTGATGTCGGCGCTGCCGAAGGATTCCTGGCTCACGTTGCTCCCTCTATGTCTCTCAGACGCTGACTGGACGGTCCCCTGAGACTCGACGCTCGTGGCAGCCAAGAGCAGCTGGGAGGACTCCAGGGCTACCGTCGTCTGTAACACCCTGGCAACTCCGATCTCATGTCCCCGGCTGGAGGTTGACGAGGAGGAAGTCAGCATCCCGTTGGTAGCAAGCGTGACGATCGGGCTATCGAGCGGGAAGGGACGCGGGAGAGGGGAGGGTATCAGCCTTGTGGCCTCGGGGACGGGAGAGCTAACGTTCTCCAGCCCCGACGCTCCAAGCTTGAACCCCCTTGACCTCTTCTCTCCGTCTTGATCCAGAGCAGGATGAGTGTGAGGGTTGAGCTCGACGATCCGCACCCCTCCAGACGACCTGTCGCTCACTACCTCCGAGCCAAATGCTGTCTCCACCCTCCTCTTCCCTTCTCCGGCACTTGCTCCTGCTCTCGCTCCGGCTCCACTTTCTTGACCTGACTGCGACCTGCTCTGATCCTCCCCGGTCCCTGCCCCCAAGCCCCGCATGCCTCCTCCTTCCTGTCCGCCTCCTGCTCCTCCTTTCCCTGCCTTCCTTGCTGCTGCTGCTGCTGCTGCCGCCGCCGCCGCCGCCGCCGCTGCCGCCGTTGCCTCCTCCATTCCCCTTTCGTCACCAGACCCGTTCTGATCTCCTCCGGTGCCTGCTGCCAAGCCCCGCATGCCTTCTGCTCCTCCTGCTCCTCCTCTTCCTCCGGCTCCTTGATCCAGCCCGTTCTGATCTCCTCCGGTCCCTGCCCCCAAGCCCCGCATGCCTCCTCCTTCCTGTCCGCCTCCTGCTCCTCCTTTCCCTGCCTTCCTTGCTGCTGCTGCCGCCGCCGCCGCCGCCGCCGCCGCTGCCGCCGTTGCCTCCTCCATTCCCCTTTCGTCACCAGACCCGTTCTGATCTCCTCCGGTGCCTGCTGCCAAGCCCCGCAGGCCCTCTGCTCCTCCTCTTCCTCCGGCTCCTTGATCCAGCCCGTTCGGGCCCCCTCCGAGATCCGCCATCAGACCTCGCAGACCCGCTCCTTCCTCCCCGTCTGATCTCTGCTTCTCCAAGTCGCTCTGAGCAGTCCCCAGGCTCCGGCTTTCATTGGAGCCCGTCTCACTGGAGAAGCTGGACCAGCCTTGTGACAGCAGCTTGTCGCCAGGCTGCAGAATCTGCCTGGGCGACGGCAGAGCTCTTTGCATCCTGGGACTGGGAGTGGAGGATGGCAGAGCCCTGGGGTTGGGGAGGTGAAAGGGAATGATCCTTGGCAACGGAGCTGCGATCTCCCCGTGGGGATCCTCTCCGAAAGTCTCGTTGGGAGAGTGGGATGTCTGATCCATTGCACCACCCGCAAGCTCTCCTTCTATCTGGCCAGGAAGTGAGGATATTATCATTTCCTCAGGCGAAGCAGCCGTGGCCTCTGCCAAACTGCGTTTGGTCGATCCGTTTTGTGGGGCGTCCATCGATCTGCGAAGAGCAAGGTTGTTCTCCTGCCCATCCTTGAGAATGAAGGACGGCAGATCATCTTCCTTGGCGGTAGGTTCAAGGCGAGACTTGGCAGAGGCGTTGCTTGAAAAGATCTCGGCAGTATCGAACACGTAGGCTACAGAAAGGTTCTTGTCAAGGGTAGAGAAGTAGTTGTGGTCCTTGTACTGAAGGTCGCAGTCGACGAAGCAAGACTGAGAGAGCATATTATAACCTTTCCTCGCCGAGGTTGTCAAGTCAACCATGTCGTCCAAACTGCGAGCTGACTCGATCCCTTCTAATATGGACCCATCGGCTGCGCTCTCGCTCTTGTGGTAGAGGTCCATGAAATCCTGAACCAGCACCTTGTCGCTGCGCGAGTCGCAGACGTTGCAGTTCCCGAGGTCAATCCTCAGTTTGAGGCTCTCGAGGATGCGCGTCATCGATCGCATGCTCTTCATCTGCATGACCAGCTCCCCACCGTCCGTGACTGAGGGTGAAGAGAACAAGACCTGCAGAGGGTGCAGCTTCAATCTGTTGCAGACTACATCTCGCAAGTCTTTCAGGTTGCCTGTCTTGTCAGTGAATTGCTTGTCCTTGAACGATACAAGGATCTTTCCAGAGGTACACATGCTCATGGGCTCATTGCAAACATGGCAGTAGTTCACACAATCGACCGCACAGCCTGACTTCTTGTCTCCACAGACCTCGCACTTGCAACGACAACTCCGCCGGTCCCTGTCACAGGAGCCGCAGAGCAACTGAGGGTCGTCAAACTCCAGCACCCCTATCTCCTGGATGTGAGCGGAACATTTGCCGGTCCTCAAGGGACTTTTCTCATTCGACAACTCCTGATGCATAACGGTCGAGATCTGCCCCGTCTTCGTCCTTCTCCAGTCATCGTCACCATCCGGATCCTCCTTGTTCTCTTCCTTGAGAATGAACCCTGTCCTCCTCTTGAAGAGCCGGTCAGCCTGTTTCCAACACAGCAGCTTCACAGTGAGAGAGACAGCGTCCCTGTTGAAGGCTTCGGGTCTGATCGTCACCTGCGTCTTGGCCAGGTTCATCGACTCGCAGATCTCTTGCCGCAGATCTTCAATCAGTTCACTCTGATCTCCCCACAGATGATAGCATATCGGATCGAATCTCAGCCTGACAACCTTGCCATGGCACACCGAGATGTTCTCACAGCAGTGCACGCAGATCTGCTTCGCACTCTTCGAACAGGCCACCACGAAACACTGGCAGTAGCACACGATTAGAGGGACAAGCACCAGCACCAGCACCGCTGCCACGTATTCCAAGCTCGACATCTTTTGCGTTTGCTGATCCACGAGATCGAAATTCACTCCCAGTTTTCGGCAACCAGGGCTTCTGCAGATTAGGGGCTGCTGCTGATTGAAGACTGGGTCCAGGAAGTCCGGCAGACCTGTTGCCAGGATCAGAAAAGACTTCCTCACTAGCAGGCAACGAGCAAGCGTACCGTCCGCATCCAAGTCTCCTGTGCCCTCCTGCATGTCTGATATCCCATCGCCATCGCTGTCCAGGTCGAGATAGTTGGGTATTCCGTCTAGATTGGCAGCGTCAGAATCTGACACACAAACTTGCCCCATCAAGTCGCCCCCACACTCATCCCCCTCCCCTCCGCTTCCTCTTCCTCTCTCCCCTGCCCGCTCTTTCCCCTCCAACTCACCTTTATCAAAGTCATCCGTCCCTTCCACGGCGTCCGGGATGCCATCGCCGTCGGCGTCCATACTTGCAGCTCGTCCCTTGATCGAAGTCACAGGGTCCAGGTAGTCCGGCTGCCCATTGCCGTTGCTATCAGCTTCTCCCTCCACCTCGTCCAGGATCCCGTCGTTGTCTGCCACGTCATCAATCCCCTGCCAGCCACCCAAGCAGCCCTCACCTGAGTCCAAGTCCAGGTAGTTGGGAACGCCGTCAGCATCGTAGTCCTGTGGGTTCCTGGAGTAGTTGAGCCCCTTCACTATCGTACACTGACACTCGTGCGAGTCAAGAATGCCGTCGCCATCGGAGTCGATGTCAAGGTAGTTGGGGATCCCGTCGCCGTCCTGGTCTCCTGCTCCCTCCACATAGTCGGTGATCCCATCTCCATCGCTGTCAAGGTCAAGGAAGTTGGGGATGCCGTCCTTGTCCGGTCCGTCTGCCGCTGTCTCGTTCTTGTCGGGAATCCCATCGCCATCGCTAAAGAGAGGAGCGTCAGAATAGGGATGCGATCAACTAGAGGCGAGAGGAGAGGGAGGGCGAGTCGACAATGGGAGGGGAACTGGATCATCGGAGGGGGAAGAGCAAGGGGTTGCAGCGGGAAGAAGAGGAATAAGAGGAAGAGGTGGAGGGAGAGGGGGTACCTGTCAAGATCCAAGTAGTTGGGGATACCGTCGTTGTCGACGTCAGTGTCACCTTCGATGATATCTGCTATTCCATCCCCATCGGAATCCTTCTGGTCCTTGGGGACCGGAATGACCGCCGCATCTCTCCATGCCGGAACTCCCTCCACTCGATCCAGAAGTCCATCGTTGTCAGTGTCCAGATCCAGTCGGTCTGGGACGCCGTCGTGGTCATAGTCCATGATCCCTTCAACCTGCAACGATCGCCCAAGGTCAGTAAAGGGGCAGGCAACCTTCCATGGGCTACCTTATCTCCGATGCCATCGTTGTCTGAATCATCGTCCCTGAAGTTCGGAACCCCGTCCTGTTCCACCGCCACAGTCAATCTTCGCCCACGGCAAACTGTCTTCTCTCCACATTTCCTACCTTGTCGGGGTCACCCAACCCTTCAAGCACGTCAGGCACTCCATCGTTGTCAGAATCGCGATCTAAGAAGTCGGGAATCCCGTCGTTGTCAGTGTCCACCGGGTTGTTGTTGGTCGAGTCGTCTATCTCCTGCACATCTGGGGACTTCTCTACGACATCCAGGATGCCATCTCCGTCCGAATCCAAGTCAAGGAACGCTGGAATCCCGTCGCCGTCAACATCCGACAGGCCCTCAAGTGAGTCCGGGATGCCGTCACCGTCACTGTCCAGGTCGAGGTAGTTGGGGATCCCGTTGTCGTTAGAGTCTTCGACACCCTCGATGAGATCTGCAGTTTGCAACTTCAGGAAACAAGAGCGGTCATGATAGAGAGCTTTTACCGCTGATCCCATCGCCATCACTGTCCATGTCCCGATAGTTGGGCCGGCCATCCCCGTCGGAGTCCTCTAGCCCTTCGACCTCGTCGGGGATCCCTGAAGAACCAGGTCAGCACTCACTCGCTCTTCTGCTTCCCTCACCATCATTGTCAGAATCGACATCTCGATAGTCAGGGAAGCCATCTCCATCCGTATCGACCGCAGTCTCCACAGCATCCGGGATACCATCGTTGTCAGAGTCAAGATCCAGGTAGTCTGGGATCCCGTCATGGTCGCTGTCCCTCGTCTTCGTCTCCACGTTGTCCGGGATCCCGTCGTTGTCAGAGTCTGTAGGGTCTCGGATGACGTTGGTGGGGGTCGGGACCTGGGTGCAGGTACCGTTGACGAGGTTGTAGCCGTACACGCACTCCCACGGGCAAGAGTTGTTGTTGTAAGGGATACCGCTACCTACGAACTTGATGTTGCCCATCTCAGAGGTGCAGGCCTGGCAAGCGGAGTCTCTTGTCCCGCCGCACGCCCCTCGGTACTGCCCGATGGGGCACTCGTCGGTGGAGCAGGGGGTACAGGAGCCCCGGGAGAGGTAGTACCCCTCCTTGCAGGTAGTGCAGTTGGGTAGGTCACCCTCCCAGACACCCTTGGCAGCGTTGCAGGCGACAGTCACAGGGCCTGACTGGGAGTAGCCTTGAGCGCACTGGAGGGTACAACTGTAAGAGCAGGACGCCGATACTACTTGCACGTTGGCGGATCTGGGAGGGAGACAAGTAAGCGACAGGTGGGGCAAGAGCACAGGGAGCATACATGGGCAGCGGAGGGCAGTCGTTGTCGTGGATCGAGATCGAGATCTCCGGGACTGACATCCCGTTGTACCTGACGTCACTGCTGTAAACCTCGGTGATTACCCTGCTGGAGTGGAGCCCCTCGTAAACAACGTCGTCGACAGCCAGCACTGAGATCTGTCAGGAACGGTCAGTGAGGTGCCAAACAGGTACAGCCTGACAGAATCACCTTCTGAGCTGTGTTCCAGCTGGACTTCTGGAAGGTCAAAGAGCCTGGCTGCGGCTGCTGGAGCTGGGAGGATGAGTAACGAAAGAAGATGGTGACAAAGTCCTTTGGCTCTTCGGTGAGCACAAACTCCAGCACTGCTGGTCCGTAGCTGGACGACTCCCCCGTCTGGGATCCGATGACATTGATATCGATCCCTACAGTCACGTTGGGGACGCAGTCAAGGCCGTAGGTCGTGTCAAGGAAGTATCCCTTCTTGCATTTCCATTTGCAGTTGTCGAGGTAGGAAGGATACCCTCCTGTCACAAACTCCGCGTTTGACGGGATCAGTGAGGAGCAGGGGTAGCACAGGCCTCCTGTCGGGGCCATGCACGGCCCTCGGAAGAAGCCCGCAGGGCATTCAGCCAGGTTGCACGGCACGCAGACCGAGCCGTTGAGGAAGTAGTCTTTGGTGCACTGCGAGCAGGAGGGAGGAGTGCTGTCCCAGCTCGTGCCCTCCACCGTCCTCACGCACTGCAGCATGACAGTCCGGTCCGGCTCGTAGCCCTCCCCACATCGCATGCTGCATATCCCATCGATGCTGCGGTTGCAGGAGGCGACGTAGAGGTTGCCCTTGCTGCGGACAGGAGGGCACATGTCCTCCTCGATCTGAATCTCCACCCTCTTGTCAGCCAGCTGGCTGTAGAGAAAGTCGGTCGTCCGGATGCTGACCAGCACGTCCCCCGAGTGGAAACCTTGCGGCACGTCGTTGGGAACAGCCTTGACCCTGACGCGGTAGGGCTTGCTCCAGTTGGTCTCGTCGAAGGTCACTCCGACTGGCTCGATCGGGTAGAACTGTGACAGCGCATTGAGGGTCAGGTTGACAGGGCCCATGGGGAGCGATGACAAGCGAATGTCAAACTCAGCTGGCGGGCTGTTGGGGTCCTCCCCAGTCTTCATCACCACAGGGGTAACGATGAGACCAGCCGTCCCTCGCACCTGACAAGCGGCCGTGCTCTCGTTGAACAGGTAGCCGTCGTTGCACAGCCAAGAGCACTGGTTGTTGCTATCGCCTGATGTCGTGTAGCGGGCGTTAGCAGGCAAGGCATTGATGCACGCAGTGCAGTTGCTGTCCTGTTCTTTAGAGCAGGAGGTGCGATAAGTCCCAACGGGGCAGGGGGAGGAAGAGCAAGGAAGGCAATGGGATCCTGACTTCCAGAAATTCCCTTCACATGTCCAGGAGCAGTTGTTTCTGTTGTACGGGGTCCCCGCGGAGGTGTAGATGGAGTTGGCAGGTTTGTTTGTGCATGCAACACAAGATGGCTGTGTGTTTGGTGTGCAACTGACCTGATAGGTGCCAAGAGGGCAGGTGGAAAGGCTGCATGCGACGCAGCCTGCTCCTGAGGAGTAATAGCCCTGAGCACAAGAGGAGCAGTCGACCATCTCCCTGCTCCAGTCCGCTGTTGACGAGAGACAGATCATTGTGTAAGGTTCGCTCGGGCTCCTTCCCACGTCACACTGGATGGTACACTCGCCCCCATAATAGCTGTTGCACACAACCAAGGAAGAGTTGGGAGGAGCCTTCAGAGGTTGGCAGTCGTTATCCAGGACGCTGACCGTCAGCTGGTCCACAGAGATCTGGTTGTAGCCAGAGTCTGTAGAAGCGACGGAGAACGAGACATTCCCACTGTGTGTCCCCTGCTTGATCTGGTCGTTGTAAGGCAGTACCACGACCATCTGCTCTACGTTCCAGTTTGTCGACGTGAAGGTCAACACTGTCGGAGAGGAGAGGATGAGAGCATCAGAGGAGGTCAGGGTGATGGTGACGTCAGCAGAAGGCGCCTTGGAGAGCTTGACGGGAATAGAGGCAGACACCTTGTCTGAGGCCTCGCTCAGAGTCGGGATGTTGCTCCTGTCCACCACCACAGCAGGGATGACGTCAGGGGTGCAGAGGTCGCTGGAGTTCTTGTAGTATCCCTTGTTGCAGGTCCAACCGCAGTTGTTGCTGTCAAACGGCTGCCCGGGGCTCGAGTAGTTGCTGTTGGTTGGGATCTGGTTCGTGCAGGGCACACAGGTGGAATCTTTCAAAGAGCCCACCTGCTTACACCCAGTCCGGTATTGCCCAGCTGGGCACGTGCTAGTCGAGCAGGGGCTGCACGTCTTGCCCGACTGGTAGTAACCGGGGTTACATCCCCAGCCGCAGTTGTCTGCGTTGATCGGGTTGGCCGCGGAAACGAATCTAGAGCTGTTGGGCTTCTGCGTGCACACTTGGCAGTAGCTGTCTTCCATGGCGCCGCACGCGCTTCTGTACGTGCCGGGAGGACAAGCCGACTGGTTGCAAGGATTGCATGCCCCTCCATTGAGGAAGTACTCCGGAGCGCAAGAGGAGCAGGTGGGAGGGAGCTGGGACCAACGGGCCAGGTCGGGCAGGCAGGTGAGCTGGATCTGACCGATGGGAGCGTATCCCTCGTCGCACTCGAAGACGCAGGAGCCCTGAAAGGAGTTGTTGCAGGAGACGATCTTTCCTCGCAGCGGGGCAGTGAGCTCGCGGCAATCGTTGTCGATGATGTCCACTGAGAAGTTCAACGGCCCGATGGACTTGTACAGGATGTCGTCTGTGACGATGGAGAGGTAGAAGGTGCCGCTATGGAGGCCCTGATAGATGTGGTCGTCAACAGCGTACAGGAAGAGGTCCTGGTAGTTGAGGTAATTGGCAGATGTGAAGGTGTAGACGGCGCTCCCAACATTCGTGAGGTGGCTGTCCACTTGCACCCGCACTGTCACGTCGCTCGTCGGTGCCCTGGACAGGCGCAGCTGGAACCAGGCTGGATTGCTGCCGACCTGCTCCGAGGTGCTGATATTCTTCGTGATGACATCGAGACGAGGCTGAGGCATCAGGACGCAGGAGGTGTTGTGCTGGTCGTACCCTTGGTTGCAAGCCCACTGGCAGTTGTTCTCCGACGGGGGAGAGCCGCTGCTGATGTAGCGGCTGTTGAGAGGAAGCGGGTTGGTACATGGGCGGCAATCCGCGTCCGCCTGGTCCTGGCATGGGCCCCTGTAGTACCCGATTGCGCACGGACCTTCAGAGCATCGGAGACACTCCTTGCCAGCTCCCTGGAAGTAGTTGGAAGAGCACTGAGAGCATGAGGGAGGGAGTCGATCCCAGTCTGTCGGGGTGCAGCTCAAGGTTGTGATGTTGGAGGGCTCGTACCCTTGCTTGCACGTGATGGAGCAGTTGAGCCCGTACGTGGTCTGACAATCCAACAATTTAGCAAACTGCGAGAGTCGTAGGCTGGAACAATCGTTGTCTGCGATGTTGAACGAAACAGTTCGAGGGTTACTGAAGTCCCAGTCAGAGTCATCGCTTGAGGTTGTGATGATGATGGAGCTGCTATGTGGACCCTGACGGATGGAATCGTCAACCGCGGAAACGACGATGGTGATGGAAGTATTCCAGTTGCTGCTGTCGAAGTCAAAGCTGTTCAACGAGGCTCGGACATGAGAGTTGTCAGCAAACTTCACTGTTACAGTTGAGGTTGGAGGTCTTGAGAGCTTGACCTTGATCGTCGTCGTCTTCCCTGCCTCGGATATGTCTGTGTCAGGCACATCCACTACGAGAGAGTGCAGAATGTCGGTGACGCAGAGCTTGTTGGAGGAATCGAGGAAGAACCCAGTATCGCACGTCCACTGACAGTTGTCCTTGTCGAAGGGCGATCCTGCACTCGACCAGACAGCATGCGCCGGTTTGCTATCTGTGCATGGCACGCAAGATGCATCGGCAGTTGAGGTGCAGGCGCCTCTGTATTGCCCGATGGGGCACACGAAGCGAGAGCATGTCTTGCAGACATCTCCTGATCGCCAGTAGCCGGTCGAGCACGACCATGGGCAGGAATCATCCTTGAGCTGATCCGTAGTGCGTGAAAATTCTGCGTTTTCTGGCTTCTTTGTACAGGGGACACACACAGAGTCCTTGTCCTGGCTGCAGGCTGACCTGTAGTAGCCAGTGGAGCAGCTGTACGTGGAGCAGGGGACGCAGGACGAGGCAGAGGTGTAGTATCCCGAGGAGCATGAGCAGGAGGGCATCTTCCCCTCCCACTGCCTTGTGGCAGCGTTACATTGCAGCTTAACCGTGTCCTGGGGGACCTTCCCTTCCTCGCACTTGAGCTCACACGTTGCTCCTGCCTGGTTGGGGCAGGTCTTGGAAGTTGTCTGTTCGGCAGAGCTGTTGCCTTGCAGGTAGTAGACGAGGTTTGCGCACTGTCCATAGAGGGACTTAACGCCCACATAGCAGCGAGGGTCGGTGGGATGGGATGAGCAGTAGGCGATTCCTGACTCGGCATAGCAGAAGCCGTTCTGGTCTGTGTACGGACACCCTATCTTCTCCATCCTCTGATCGCAGTCCTGTGCCTTGCACTTGCTCAAGTAGTGCTCGGCTTGGTCGACGTTGTCTTCCTCCTGGTAGTAGCGGCGGCAGTAGTAGTTCAGAATGAGGATGAAGCTGGGATCCGGCACGCCGCCGCCGGTGCTGCCGCTGGAGGACACGACGACGACACCTTGCGGGATCTTTAGGGGAGGACATGCAGTGGAAAGGATGGTGATGGGAACACCCGGCACCGGGATAAGGTGGTACTCTTCGTCCGAGCTGGTTACCGACAGCGAGACCTCGTATGTCCTGTGTGTCTCAGAGTCTTCGGACCCTCCAGTACATGCTCGCCCGTTCACCAGGACCTCCTTGGCATCGCTCCAGTTGTTCTGAGTGAAGATCAAATCGCTGCCCTCCGTCACGTTGAGTTGGCACTGCTCGCTCGAGACCCTGACAAAGACCGTGTCAGCTGGCCTCGTGCTGAGGTTGACCAGGAAGGCAGCTGGGGCAGCCGAGGGGCCGAGTGAGGTAGTCAGGTTGATCGGCCAGGTGGTGACGTTCTTGGGGACGATGTCAAGGGGGCTGCACCGATCTACACAGAGCGGCACCTCCCCCTGCGTGTCGTTCCTCCCTTTCACACAGCACAGCTCGTTGTTGCATCCGCAACCCTTCGTGAAGCATCCGCAGGTCGACTTGTAGTCGCAGCCGGCATCTGCCCGGCAGAGCTTCTCTGTGGCATGTGCCCCGCACCCTCCCACGTAGGTGTCCGGGAGGATCTGAAAGGCTCTGACTCCCACCCATGCCGATCCCACCCATCGCTGACGGAACCGTTGGATTGCGCAGCATCCGCCTCCGTCCGGCGTTGCCGTCGTGTTGGCAGTGGATGTGGAGTAGTTGCAGCAGCTAGCAGCGCTGCCGTAAGAGCTGATCATGGAGGGAGAGTTTGACAAGTTCCATTGCGGCCAGCTGAAGCTTAGAGTCTCCGCGGAGTAGGGAGGAGCAGGCGACTGTACGGGCATGTTCTTGCATGCTGGATATGATTCCACCGGCTCGACGAGCTGGAAAGAGAACACACCAGTCACACCATACCGTAGTACTCCCATCGCGAGCCCAGCTCCACAGATGGAGGAGGCATCGAGGAAAGCGACTTGAGCGCCGGAGGAGAAAGAGCAAGGCTTCCCTCCGTCGAGACTTGCGGGCCCATACACAGCCTGGTAGGAGCAAGTGGCAGGGCAGAGGACAGTGTAGATCTGTCCGACCTTGCCGTGAAAGCGATCGATCGATTTGGTACAGGAGTCTTCTCCTTTCTCGCACAAGATCCCTCCGTTGGCAACAGAGTCGCTGCAGCTCACTTGCTGCACGTCGGTGGCGCGAGAAGCATTTTTCCAGATCTGATGCGTGTAGTGTCTAGAGCAGGTGACCTCAGGGTCGAGGAAGTCGATGATTTGGTTGCGGTTCTTGTCCTCCGACTCGCTCTCGTCGATGTCAGGAGTTCCATCCTGAGAGGAGGAGAGGAGAAGTCAGTACATCATCACTTGCTGCAGAAGCACTCACGTTGTCAGAGTCTAGGTCGCGGTAGTTGGGTATCCCATCCCCATCCGTATCCTCAGCACCCTCTACATCGTCGCCGATCCCATCCCCTTGTCAACTTCATCAGCCAGGCGGACCGTCAAGCCTCGTGCTCACCGTCAGAGTCCAGATCGCGAAAGTCGGGTATGCCGTTGCCGTCTGTGTCATGGCAGCATACCTTGGTCTGTTGGTACTCCTTTCCTGCCTCGTCCCAGTCCAGAATGCCATCTGATGGCATCGAGTGAGCGAAGGAGAATGAAGAAAGGAGGCCTGAGGCCAAGTATGTGGATGAGGATGGAAAGACGCGATGGGCTTCGAGGGGAAAGGGATGAGGCAGGGAAATAAGGAGGGAAGAAGACACGAGAAAAGAGAGAGAAAAGGATGAAAGCGGTCAGCGTCACCATTGTCTGAGTCAGGATCCTCATAGTCTCTAAGGCCGTCGCCGTCTGTGTCAACGGTTCCTTCAACTTCGTCCGGTAGACCATCTACAAGCAGTTCAGCTCAGCGGAAGATGATCCTATCAAGCATGCAGACGAGGAGGAAAGCAATGGAGAGGATGGGGGAGAAGATTGAGCAAGGGTGCACCATCAACAGGGTGAGGAAACGTGAGAGCATGGTAGCATGCAAGACAACAAGTCACGTCCTCCACTCACCGTTGTCAGAATCGAGATCGGCTCCGTTGGACCTGTTGGGGAGAGGCGCGGGGCACCTCGAAACGCAGATTGTGTTCTCTTGGTTGGGATAGAGAGGGTCGAGGAAAGCGGGTACACCTTCACTGTTTATATGGTGAGCTTTTTCGATCGCATCAGGGACGCCGTCTCCGTCGGAATCCGTGTCTACCCAGTTGGGCAGCCCATCTCTGTCCTCATCCTGCAAGCTGGCATTCCTCAGCACGATGGTGATGTTGTACTCGTACTCGTCCAGGAGTTCGTCGCCTGCCCAGCAGAGCCGTCAGAAGGAACAAGTTAGCGGGCACGGCCCGACGATGCTTCACCGTCGCTGTCAAGATCGTAGCAGTTAGGGATGCCATCTCCATCCGGATCCTGAAGCCCTTCCTTGCTATCCGGCAGCGTGTCCCCGTCTGAGTCCAAGTTGAGGTACCTAGGGGCCCCGTTGGCCCCTGTCTTGTTAGTCTCGATAGAGTCCAGGATCCCGTCCCCGTCGCTGTCCATGTCAAGGTAGTTGGGTATGCCGTCCTTGTCCATGTCTGATGTGCCTTCTTCCACGTCGGGTATCATGTCGTCTGAGGTCAGAGGGTCAGAAAGTCGGGTGATGACTTCAAGGGCATCCTTACTGTCACTGTCAAGGTCCAGGAAGTTGGGGATCCCGTCTTTGTCCACGTCACCCGATCCCTCAACGATGTCAGGGATCGAATCGCCTACAACAAGTAGCGGCGAGTCAACGCACGAGCATGGAGGGAAGAGATGGGTTTCACCATCACTGTCCTTGTCGAGGAAGTTTGGAATACCGTCACCGTCGGGATCTCCGATCCCCTCATACGAATCAAGAAGATTGTCGTTGTCCGAGTCGAGATCTCTACAAGATCATGAGCATCACTGGACAACCATCCTCGTCCTCGAGCTCGAGTACCTCCAATTCGGCATCCCATCGCCGTCAGGATCGCGGGGGACGTTTTGACTCTCCTTCTTGTCAGAGATCCCATCGTTGTCGCTGTCTTCGTCGAGGTAATCCGGCACTCCATCATGGTCAAAGTCAATCACATCTCCATAGCACGTCGCTGCTCCTTCCTCGTAATCGGAGATGCCGTCGCCTGCAACCGAGCCTCATCCAACGACATCTTGTAACGTTACCTACCGTCACTGTCGTTGTCGAGGAAGTTGGGGATCTGATCGTTGTCAACGTCTCCCACACCCTCAGTGGAGTCTCTGAGTCCATCCCCTGGGCGATGACTTGGGTCAGAAAGGCTGTAAACTCTACCAGAGGAGCGCAAAGACTAGAGTGCCAAGAGAAGAACCAAGACAAGGTACAGTTGATGGGCGAGATGGAGGGGGGGGGGCGGGGAAGGAGGAACACAATGGTTGAAGGGCGAGATGGGAAGGGAAGAACAAACGGAGTTCAATCACCGTCTGAATCTTCGTCCATGAAATTGGGAACCCTATACGAAAAGAGTAAACACGAATTTTTTTACAAGGAATGGCAGAATTGTACCCATCAGCATCAGCGTCGTCGCTGCCTTCCAATGCGTCGACAATGCCGTCTGCATCCATATCTCCATTTCCTCCCACCCAAAGGAGAGAAGAAAACGCGTAAGAGTCGACATGATTGTTGTAGGGCAGCCTGAGGTTCATCGTCTGACCCTCGTCCTTCTCATTGAACCTAAAGCAACACAAAATCCATCATCAATGAACGAGTACTTGCTGCATTGAACACATTGCTGATCATCATTCAGCGGTCAAAGTCACAACATCCGCTGCGACATCTCAGAAGCAGCATCAACATTCACTCACGTGACTTCAAATTTGAGGCAGCTTTGAGTCTTCGCAGTCGGTTGGGTGCAGTTCTTATAAATGCAGCAGTTGTCTCCGCATGTGCATTCCGCAGGGATACATCCGCAACTCTTCTCATACTTGCAATTCGTGCCTTTAGAGCAGGTCGTCGACGTGGGGAGCTCAGTACAAGTGGCCAGTGTACCACTCTGACAGATTCCAAAGATGCAGCAGTCATCTCCGCAGAGGCACAAGTTTGGAATACAACCGCACGCAGTCTGCCAGCTGCAGCCCGTCGTGCTCTTGCATGTGGTCCTATCACCGATAGCTCCACACCCAAGCTTGTACTGGTCGTCACACCGACCAGAAATGCAGCAGTCGTCTCCACACAAACATTTCGAAGGTATGCAAGCACACGCCGTCTGCCAAGTACAGGATGTCTGGGCCTTGCACTGGAGTCTTTCTGAGATTATCGAGCATTGCAGGTTTGAGGATGAGACTGATGAAGCGCCTGCAGTGGAGTCTTGCGTGCTTGAGGTGTAGGTGGATCCGCCCTGGTCTAGACCACAGAAAGAACCTTGGGGAATCATCAACAACAAAGCACCTCAAACTAGGACAGGATGTACCTGGATTCTGGTCGCTGGGATATTCGGCCCATGTCTGTAAAAGGCGATATTCAGATCAAGAGCAGTCTTGAGAGAAGCTCATGAAAACCGCTAGCTGGTTTCTTGCCCAACCAACATTCGTGTTCGGGGGCGGCCGGCTCTCGGCAGGAACTAAAAATTGCAAACATCAAGGGAAAAACAGAAAAGTATGCAGATAGAAATACCTGGATTGTAATAACCCGTGCATAAACCATACAAAGTGAAGGCGTTCGTGAAACACCTGGGATCAGTCTTCGCTTGCTCGCAATATGCCTGTGCTTCATCTGAATGTGAAAGAAAGCCGTTAGAATGAATTGGAGCCAACTCTCCCAAAAGAAGATCACCTGAATAACAGAAGCCATTCTGATCAGTGTATTTGCACTTGTTTGACGAACGTTGATCACAATCTTGGTAACGGCAGTATTGCAAGTATGAGTCTTGCTTGTAACTACTCAAATCAGGCTTGTAATATTTTTTGCAGTAAGAATTTAGCGAATCCATGAGATTGTAATTCTGATCACCTACAGGGAGAAATCAGAATCGTGATGAGCTATTCGACATACTGAGAGTACCATAATACTGCCATCTTGCGATGCGGCAAACCTCGTCCCGGGTTTCATGATGTTCTTAGTCCCAACACTAGTCTTGAAACTTGTGGATCAAGTCAGAGACGGATCAGAGCAAGCATCCTTCCCCTACCTGTATTGCAAACCCTGCTTCCCCGAGATGTTGTGAGATGTCCATGAGTTCCCGCCAGCAAGCTTGATACCCAGGTCTAACGCCGAGCCCTGAGCACCTGATTCACAAGCAGCTTGCGCCTGGGTTGACCTCCCGCAGAAATTCCAGTTCTCGATACTTTGCACAATGGCAATATTGCCACAGTATACAGTCATTTGCTGCTTTGTGGTCAAGTCTACCCATGTCCCGTTGTTCATGAACGTGAAGACATCAATCTGGTATTTGTTCACGATAGTCGATCCATCGATCTGTCCTGAAAACAACGTATGACGCATGACCTTGAGACTGGGATCCTTCTGTTCAGGCCAGCCTGTTTCGTTTGACTTGTACAGAGATGTAGCTGAAGTAGCTGGATAAGCTTGCCATGAATAGTCTTGCGAGGAGAATTGTTGGACAGAATGCTTAATCTTGGCGCTGCCTTGCGTCCCTACTGTCCTTTCTGCCATGTCAATCTCTCTCAAATAATTCGGTATAATCTTGAATATCGCATCTCGTCGCTCCGATCCATCTGAATTGGTTGTATAGTAGCTTATGGTTTGGCCATCCGACGTCACGTCTGCCTGAAGACCGCAGACTCTGATTGAATTGGCCTGATTGGTTGACGGTTTGGTGCAATGATATGAGAAGGATGTCTGAAGTAGATCTAGAGAGATGAGCAGGAGCAAGGTAGAGTATCCAGGTTGAGGAGCAGTGGTACGAGCAAGCATCGACCCTCCTGTTCCTCTCCTTCGTCGTCCCCTATGTCCCCTTGCTCCCACCATCGCCACCGTCACCGTCAAAACTTCGAACGGTACCTGTGATAACCCGTGTCAAACCCAGGTATTTTGGGGGTAGGGTGAAACAACTGGGTTTCTTTGTTTCCCATACTGACCACAAGACCCCCCAACCCCGACTTTCTGTACCACCGTACCCCTTACCCCCACCCGTGACCACCACCTACCCGCCAGGACCCACCCTGCAGCCGATTGCGCCCTCCCATTCCGATTCCGAAAGACATGTTCTAAAAGGTTTTTAAGACGGAGTATAAAAATATGTATTAGAGGAACGACCGAAGTTGAGTGATTTTAAAAACTTTTTATGAATAGTTTGGGCCACAGATAAAAGTCATTTTTTAAATATTCTATTTCCACCACGAAGTTTTCCGCAGTTATACCCCACCCCCACTACTCGGAGTAGATATGCAGTACCCCACCATTCGTACACACCACCCTACCACTCTCACAGGAAGGGCCACGTCCCCTCTTATCTAGCCTTCAAAACCTCTGGGCAATGGAACCACCCATCACCCCTTTGATTCCAGCTACTGTACCCCCTCCAAGTACCTATCTGTCCTGTCAAGCCTTCAAGATAGGGACGGGGTGGGGGGGTGGACGAAATTTTTTCTGTTTGTGAACTTTGACCGGGGTGATAGGACGTTTAGTTACCTATGTCAGCCTTGAGCTAAACTGGGTAATTCGGAATGACCGTGACGGCCGTGTGATCTGCGGAATTGGAATCTGACTTGGTTCACACCTCACGGGCCTTCTCATGGTACCGTAGGCCCGCATGGTACCGTACCGTATATGATACCGTCGTACGGTACTACAGGCCCCGGAGTATTCTAGTAGCCCGGCTGAGAGTACAGTCCGTTCACCGCGGCCGTGACCATTAAGTTGCGATCATCCGGGTCATGAGACGTAAGACGTCGAGACTTCTTTAGTGTGGTGCAAAGCGTGAGTCGTCACCCGGGCCGCCCGGGGGGCCGGGCACCTCAGCCGCTGCAACACTGACAGAGGCTGACAGTGAGACCACTGCGGTTTAGATAAACTTAGGAGCCCAGTGCCGCCAGCCTCGGAGTACTAAGTACCGTAGGTCAGGCCAGCGGCCGCCCGGGGGAGGTTGGGGCGCGGCCACAACTCGAAGGACTAAGAGGTCCTTGCGCTTACCATACCGTACCGCCGGTACGGCGTACCAGCGTACCGTGAGCCTCGTGGCCGCGGAGCCGCTGCACGCAAGTTCGGAATGACTTCAGCGGCTTATCATAGGCACTCAGTGCCAGCCTGGTGATCGGCCCTCCGACAGTCCGATTCGCCGTCACAAGCGCCGCGGCGGGCCGGCGGCGGCGGCTGAACTCACCCGCGGAGTCGGAATCCCGGTTCGATTCAATCGGATTCTCCATGACAGTGAGCGCCCACTGTTCAGATAGCAACTTCTGACTCACTGTGTCGACCGTCAAGCTAATGCCATTCACATGTACTACCACCAGCTAACAGTGTTCTCAATTCATTCAATTACCGTTGCCATTCCCTCTTCTCGCCTCAGTTTACCGTACTTCCAATCTCTCTGGCCTGCCGTGCCTCGAGTACTATCACTATCATGTTGTTGATTCCAGTTCAAGCTGGAGCTTTTGGATTTGACTCAAAGCAAGCTGCTTTTGTTTCTCCAATATCTTTCGCTCTTCCGTTTCCAAATTCTCCACCGCCAAGTCCTGCCGCAGCTCACGCAATTGCATCTGCAACCTTGTGACTGCATCTGTTATTTCCGACGACTTTCGGATGCTTTCGCGGGACTCTCTCAGCCGTTTCTTGGACTGACGCTCAGCCACCAACTCTCTGAGGACGCCTAGCGCCTCCTCCATCGATTTGGCACACTTCACGTTCATGTCTTGCGCGTGCATGCTAGAAAGCCTCTGCATCCTCCCCTCTGTCGCGAAGTCAGCTGGAGCGCATGATATCGTCGACGAAACGGGCATCAGTCCTCGTCCTCCGGAAGAATGGCTCTGTATGCCCGCGTTATGACCTGACTCAGCATTGTCGCTGATAGATCCATTCTTTTCGGAAGCTCCGGACCTCCTAGCGCTGTTTTGGTACACACGTGCGATCGATTGGAAATTTGGGTCGTCTTTGTACAGCAGGTGAAAGTAATAAATCACCCGATTATTCCGCGTTTGACCGGTCTTGCTGTCTTTTTTGCTCTGATTTCCACTATGGCAATATTCATAGAAGTGCGCGTCACCTCTAGCGTCCCTCTCGTACCACTCTCTTGCTGATAGATACGCAGAGCAAAGTTTTCTGAACTGAGCTCGAAGATAGGTAGCGTCCCGAGGATCAGGAATCATGTCAGGACGAAGGGAGGATACAATTCGATCTTGAGGGTACTTGTTGCTGGGTGCATATCCTGGGTCATTGAAAATGCCGGCCACAGTCACCCAAAATTGCTCGTTCAAAGGACCCCTCGCTGGAGAGTCGATCTTATCCTCATTTTCTAAAAAACCCTTGAAGATAGCCCTTGCCGTCGGCTCGTTCGCAGAGTGCATCAGTCGGATGTCTGCCGACGTGTTCCAGCTCTTCGACTTCACCCTCGTCCCATCGCCATCCACCTTCGCATCTTCCGCTTGGCCATCAGACAGGACCCCCTCGCCACCATTGAGCGGGGGCACAGCTTGTCCTGCATACTCGTGCGCTGACTCCAACGAGAAGGAGCTCGGATGCGCCCTTTCAGCATCGTGCGCTACCTCATGAGCAGCTTCCTGCGGTGCCTGCTGCCCAGCCACTTGTGGCGGCGATGGTAGCGCCGCCATGTTTGCAGAGGAGGTTTTTCGAGGTCGGTCTGAAGGGGGATGTGGGCTCCGTTGGCGGCGGGCGACAGGGGCGGCATGCAGAGGTAAGAGGGAGACGGGAAGGAGTGAGAGGTGCTGGGATCTACTGTACAGCATGACCCTTCCTTCCCCTTGCTCCTCCTCTGCCTCTCCTCAGCACCTGTACTTCCTCTCCCCCTCCTTCATCATATGGCCGCTCCATCGTTTCGGTCATGACCAGATGGTTCCTCGTCCCCGCCCTCGCCCTCGCCCTCCAAATTCTCGAAGTTTCCTTCGCCCATCTTACTTCGCCCATCGTCCTCCTTCTAACTAGTTTCGTTTCCTGTTCACTTGTCCCCATCATGGTTCTTTGAAATGGTCATGGGGAGGGATTTAGATCGGTATCGGATCCTTCGCTGACGGGGTACTTTGACCAGTTACAAGACTCAGAAAAAGAATGCGCTACATGAGGATAGCATATGGGCACTTTCATGGCCACAGGACGATAGGCTGATTTCCGGATCAATCGATGAGACAGTCAAGGTAAGATGGAGTGTCGAGTGGTTGGTAGCAATGATGGTGTTGTCAAGGTATGGAAAATGGCTTCAGACTCCGGCGAAAAGATGCAGCAGATAGAAGTTCAGCCCATCTCGACCTTTCCTGGTCATTTCCTTGGCGTCGTCTCTGTGTCAGCCACGAAGTAAGCTTCAGCCTGCATCACTCCACCGGTCCCTTCTGTGTACTCAAACCTGGCTTGCAGGGACGGCAAGCTGTGCGCTGTTAGCTCGTTAGATGGGAGGATAAGAATATGGAATTTGGGTACTTGCCCTGACACCTTTGTGTCTTCATGGTAACAGCAGCAACACAGAGGAAAGAGCTGTACAGAGGAGTATAGATCCTGGACTTGTTGAAACATGGACTGTCTGCTTCCACCCATCGGTATGGACACCCTATCAAGACCTCGCGTGCATGACTGGTCTCGTAGGGGGAGATGTTAGCGTCTGGAACTCAGACGGGGAAGATAAATGTGTATCAGACTCACTCCAAGGAAGACAAGCCTGAGGTTCCTTTCCACCACCCATACAGTCGTTGAACCTCGTTCCTGGTAGGCTACCATCAAGTCGGATGGACGATTCATCCTGGCTACAGCCTACAGTCCTTGTGGCAGGTCCTGACATGTTTTCGGTTGGAAATATTGAGGGTTCACGTAAATACCTAGGATGATCGCTGCTGGATCCAATGATGGAGTTGTGAGCTTGTTCGACACAGGTCAATCGGATGAGCAGAAAACTTGCGAGTCTCATGGTTTTGACATGCAGAGAACGGCAACTTGATCCGGAAACTGGAAGCGCACAGCAGTGCCGTCAGGTCGATTGCATGGAGCCCAGGTGCTTCAGTGGAGCAAGCATGGCTTCCAACGTGATCGTTTGCTAGATTCTCAGACCGTTTTGACGGGAAGCCAAGACAAATCAATCATGATTCATGACGTTTCTGCAAAGACGTAAGACAACTCGACAGTTTAGCTATTGTGAGTGGCCAAGGCTGAAGGTTGAACGTACAGGAACGCAGCGATGCTGCCTGGGCATGATTCATGGGTGTTGTCGGTTGCTCACAACCCTTCGAGGTGGGAGATGAGCAGAGGTGACGGGGAGCTCTTGGTGTTGAGCAGTCGGAATGCAGGCCAGAGTGCATCAGCGGCGGGAGTGACAAGAAAGTTCGAGTTTGGGATCTTGCTCAACGGCAGCTGAGTCAAATTGTCGAAGAACACACCGACCAGGTGAAGGGCGGAAGCGGACCAGGGAGGAGTTCGAGGAAGGTTGGCGGCAGGGGGAAGGCAGCAGGAGAGGGGGCTGTGGGGGCTGCGTAATAATCTCCTCTGCCTTCATCAGGTTTGGGCGGTGGACTACAATCCGAGTGGAACGAGGTTCGTCTCATCCGGTGATGACGGTAAATCTCTTGCTATCGTCCTGCCTTGGTAGTGACTTCTCCTGGCAGGGGCCCTGGTGGTCGGACAGAGCTTGCGGAGTGGCAGTTAGCACAGTCAAAAGTCGGTATCATAGAGGCTGCGGTGAGGAGAAACTCGAACATGAATGAAGTCAGCAACTTTATCCCCTCTGTTGTCATCTGGGAAGGACTCCGATCTCCTTGAGGTACCCTGTGTACAGCGTCTCTCCTGGACGCGAGGCAATGATGTCGGTTACCTGCTCCTGCATCGTCAGCCTCCTGCAAACCAGGAAACTCGCGCTCGCCTCGCAGAGTGTGAGCTCGTGGTCGCTCGCATCCAGCCATCCCCGTACCTGCACCACTTTGTCATGCTGGCAATCGTAGGAGAAGGTTGGAGGGGCCACCCCAGGAGAAGGGGAGGCAGGAGGGGGGAGGCAGGAGGCAGGAGGCAGGGAGAGAGGAGGCAGGAGGGCGAAAGGGAGGAGAGGAGAGAGAGAGAGAGTCATAGAGCGAGGAGGGAACGAATGCCAGGAGAAAGGGAGAAGTGCAGGAGAGGGAAAGGGTCGGGGGGGGGGAGGGGGGGGGGGGGGGGG